AGACCTGCCCCATGCCTCCCCTCTCCCTAGTCTGCTTCATGTGAGAGCCTGTTCCCTGTGCTGACTGCTCCTGACTCTCCATAGTCACTCCATTCTGGCTGGCCTTCAGCAAAAGCAGCAGGAGCTGGGGCAGAGGCAACCCCAACATTCCTTCGTGTGCTATGATGGAGATCAAAAGAAAACCAGTACGTCAAAACTAAACAGAGAAATGAAACAAGTAAATTCAGAAAAGTGGTTTTTGGTGATGGAAACTCTTTCCCTCTAGGGCTTAAGTCCACATGACTAACTTTTCTGCAAACGCCTTTTCTAACCTCCCTTGACAGAGTTGCTGGCTCTTTTCTCGGGGTCCCAAAGCACCTGTTCACAACCTCTTCTGCAATCAATTAGAAGGGACTTGAAGTATATATTACTTGCTTGAATTTCATAAGGAATTTCAGTTTTATACCACTGTTCATTTGGTCATAATTTCTTAATAAAAAATTCATCGATAAACAAATATCTATCTAATGAAGAAATGTAACCAGTAAGTTGGCACTGTGAGTTGCCTATGTGCCGGAGAGCAGAATACATGCTGGAAATTAAGGTTGAAAGGCCCAACCCTAACTCAGAGCTCAATCCAGAAGGGACAAGGACCAAGTCTTACACATCTTTATATCTACCCTGCTTCCTCACATTGTAACTGGTTAGAGTCTGTGCTCAGGGGAAGTGCTAGGAGTATTGCAGGCATGTGACTACTAAAAGAGCTAGAACTACAAGTGCCAAGTCTGGTCACAGGTGTCTATAGTTAACATTTAAAACAACAGCAGAAAATTGTACAAGTCCAAGAGAGTTTATGGGTTCTGAAGTCTACAATTTCTAATTCATCAAAATACGTAGCAGAAAAGGGACAAGTTTAAAATTGGTTAATGATGCTGGGGATGTGGTTCAAATGGTAGAGTGCCTGCCTCCAAATGCCAGGCCCTGAGTTCAAACTCAAGTACAAAAAAAATGCTTAATGAGATACATGGTATTTGGAATGTCAAATAAGACATTTTCTTAAAATAAGAAAAATTTTGTGATAATCCTTATATTGAAAATTTAGATCCTGAAGTTAGCTATCTGCCTTTCAGTTTAAATTTCACAAATTGTGCTTCAGGTCAGTTCAGATATGTTATATGAACTGTTTGTATAAATCCATCAAAAAAAGTAACAGCCATAATCTAGTTCAAGGTGAAACCTGTCTGTTCCAGGATGATAAAAATTAAAACTTTAAGGTTTCATAGCTTTCACATGGCTGATAAAAAATTTCAGAAACACATAATTTAGTAAGTTCAATAAAATATTAAAAAATGACCTCTACAAAATTTAATGTAAATTTTACCCTTATGGTATTTAAAGATTTGTAAACTAGTCTAGATATTTTATAACAGAAATTGTGTCCTCATAACACAACTCTTTGTTAAAACAAACTTCTCTAAATTCAGGTGGTATTAAGCATACCATTCTGGGTTTATGACATCAAGTCAAAAAGAAAATAGGTGATTGGGTTTACATTTCAGTGCATTTTTCAGATGGCATATGTGTTAGGCTGAATAAGAAGAGCTCCCCCCCAAAAGAAGATATCCATGCCTTAATTCCTGGAATTTGTGGATGTTATTTAATATGGAAAAAAAGACTTTGCAGATATAATGGAATGATTGGTTTTGGATGGAGAGATTACCCTATCAGGGTAGGATAACCTGTTGAGTTTTAATGTCTTATCTCATATTACACTTTAAATAATTGTAACTATTTAATTTAACGGCAAAAAGGATTATTGATAAATCCTGCAGTTGAACTGATTTGGAAAGACAAAGATACTGGATAACACAAGTCAACATTCTCTACTGCATGGTTCCTGAATGAACCCAGAGTTCCCTTATTCCCAACTTTGGCTCTGGGGCCAGATTGTGCCTTTTGGCCATCACTACCAGTTACAAAGAACAATTGCTCAATTGGATTTCCCAGCAACTCATATGCTCTGAGTTATAATTAGCACAAAACTACCTCCAGACAAGATTTCAGTGTAGCACACTAACAGAGCTCCTAAGCATGGAGATGCTGAAGACTCCTTTTATCCTATTTAAAGAAGTTTTGGAGTGAGCCTTCCACCCACAAAATATTTTGGATAGTGAGGGAAGCTCAAAGAGGTGTGGCTTTGCTTCCTAAATTGCTTTAGTTGATCATACCATCCAACCAAATTCCAACTATGCATCACCGCGCATCTAAATTCAATGTCCACACAATTTAGTACTGCTAATTAAATTTTGAGTCCAAAGTTTTACCTTTATATTATGAGAATGTTTTATAATACATATTCCGAAAGCCCTTTCAATTAAAACATTTTGGAGGAAATATTTTCCATTTTGGAGATGGTAAGAAGTATAAATTTGATTCTGCTCATGGCATTAGCTTTAAATCAAACTAATCCTTCCATAGAATATTCCATAATTTTCCCACTCTAACATGTTCCCTTTGAAATTAATTCCATTTTCTGAAAACTGAAAGGTGAAGACCTAGAAGAATGTAACTTCAATATGGCAGTTTCTGTGTTGGACTAAACATTATTAATGTTTTCATACTGGCCTAGTAAGTGATTTAATTTATTAAGCACAGTGGACACATGGTACCATGTTTGTACTAGCTATGCCCAGTACATGAAAAAAAAAGTAGAATTAATAAACCTACTTTAGTTCTCCAACCCACAAAATCTTACATATGAATTTGTCACTAATAAAGATCTCCAACTAATAAGTAAGAACTATGCAAAAGAGAGGTATATCAATAAAGGTATAGCTTCATATCTAAGAGCATTCAAAAGTGGTGATTTGGCAGTTTCGATTTTGTGAGTATATAGAGCTAACTCCTGTGAACAGAGCATCTGTCTCCTAAAGCTGGGGGTAAGGAGTGAAATAAGTCAGATCCAGTCCTACCCCAAGAACCATGGTGCCAGAGTCATGATGGAGGTGGATGTGGCAGAAGAAGTTGGTTGCCTTAATATTCATTCCAACTTCTTTCCTGGGGTAAAAAGACATAAACTACATTTCCAAGACTTCTTTACAAGGTCAGTATGAGATGTGCTTTGGGTTCAGATATACTTTAAAAGGCCTAAATTATTACTAAATTATGAGGAGACTTGGCTAGCTACATAATTGGGGGGCCCAGGTACAAAGTGAAAATGTAAGGACTTCTGTACAAAAACTCAGGGAAATTAGAGTGCTTTTTCTTTCTTCCCCAGTCTTTCTCACAAAGTCAGTGTGTATCACTTGGTTGCTCTTTAATCTTGTACTCCCAGGAACATGAAAAGACATATAAGTGAAAACTCTCACCAGTGCCCACAGGTAAGCACATGTACAACCTACTGGTTATGGGTTTTCCTTTCTACCAACTGCAGGATCAAAGACTCCAGAAGCCCAATTAGGCTCTCTCCCACAGCCTGTCACTCCAACTCACAGTGGATGGACAAGCCCCAAGAACATTGCACCTCTCTGCCCACATATTGGCCCCCACCAAGTTATCTACTGATTAATTGCCCCATGATGCTACCAGCCTGAGGCAAGGACAGCCCCTGCCCTGACCTTCCTGGAGATGTCCCAGGGTATGTGCACCTGCCTGTAGCCAACCCAATCATCTCCGCATCCAAGTTGAGTACTCCACCTAGGGAGGAGGGATGCAGTAGTCACTGGACAGGGGAGGCCTGATGTACCAAAGGGTAAGAGGAGGTGGCAAGAGGAAGGAACTAAGCTCTAACCTTCATTGCATATTTCATTGGCCCAAAGAACATTACTCACAAACATAAATTTATAGATAAATTATTAAGAATTTCAAGTTGGTAATCACAGAGAATTAAATTGCAAGCATGGGGCTTTTGTTAACTTGACCCTGAGCCATGCATACATCACCTCCTGGTGGAGCTGGTCCTGAGTGGAGAGAAAGGGAGAAACTCCATTTTATGGCTGCTGACTGTGATATGGCATTAAGGTTCTCCTGTCATCAGCTTTCTGCAAAAATGTCAGGAAAACTGAAAGATTCTTTTTTTCTTTCTTTCTTTCTTTTTTTTTTTTTTTGATGGTACTGGTGTTTGAACTCAGGGCCTCTTGCTTGCTAGATAGGCACTCTATCACTTGAGCTATTCTGCTAGCTATTAAGATTCTTCACCATAAAAGAGCTGAGTGATTTTGGAAACTAGGACTTGTTCCCAGTTTCCCAGGCTCAGTCTAGAGCCTGCTCTTTTGGCTCTTCTATAATTTTGAAAACCATCTAATGACTGGTGATAATTTCTTTTATACTTAGCCCAACTAGAAGCATTCATTTGCAAACAGCAGAAACCACAACTGATAATTCTTCAGAGGCATAAAATAGAGAGATGCCAGAAGGAGACTGACTATAGTAATGGCCACTATTCCAAGCACAAAATAAAGTATTTTATGTTGTAGGAGGTCATTCAATACTAGAAGAAAAATCACTTATACAGAAAGAGAGGCATCATAGAAGTGGAATAGCAGTGTCAGTCTTAGCTTCTTTTTTTATTACACATTTAGGAAGGATTGTTCAATCAGGCCGGTGACCAGATTCGAAAGTAGATAGAGAAGTACATTGTGTCCTGAGAAAAAAATGTAGGAATTGTCCCTATGACGTTGTAGGAAAAACAAGGCCTTTAGATTTCAGTAAATGGAGATTTGAAGTCAGGCTCTACTTTCTGTGTTATTGTGGGTAACAACTTCTCCAAGTCTCGGTTCCCTCAAACTGTCCTTCTAGGGTAGTTAAAGGTTATCTATGAAAAGAACCTAGAATAATGTCTGATACACAGTAGATTGAAACTGACATATAGGAACATATGGATAACTTTCCCAAGTTACCACTGCATATAGGTGCATTGTCCACATAGGTCTTTTATAAAGAATACCACATCAGAATCTCTACTGGGCGTCTTGACATCCACTTCCCAGTCTCCCATCTGTTCATCTACTCACCCTTTCAACTCATCCAACAATGCTCCCGTGTAGCCACTTATCCTCTCTCACTTCTAAAACAGGCACTGTCTCAAGATTAAGTAGTAGCTCCATCTATCAAGTCATAAATTAAAGAAACAATTTACTCCAAGATAAAATAATTAATTTAAATCCATACAAACTTTTTCCTCTAAAATTTGCACCAAATTTATAATAATCACAGAGATGCTAAAGATTTCTGTAGGTCTGGGATGGGAGGCAGTAAAAGGTGAGTCCTTTCATGTCAGCTTCTATTGAATATTGAATATTAATCTGAAATTTTTTTACAGATTTGCATGTGCTATATCCTTAGCCTGAATTGTCTTTCTCTGTTAAATTCAAGGTTCATTTTACATTTCTACTCTTCTGTCTACTCCAAGGAACTAAGATAGCTAATCCCACCCTCTTCATTGCCAACCTAGCGCCTCGTGCACAGCTCTGCACAACTCTTCCTATAAAGAATTATAAGCATATGTCTATTTATATTTTGTACATCTACATTTAGTTGGCTTGGACCATATCTTGTTTATATTCTTATATCTAATGCCAGCTCATTCTAAAATGTAGAGGAGCTTGATCCATATTGAATTAATCTAGAGCCTTAAAAGTAAGCCCAAGTCCTTGGCTCCAAGCCCCGCCAGTGTTAGCTCAGTCCAGGGCTCCTCTCTTCAGTTATGATCAGCACCATCCAGACTCCCCTCTGCTTACCAGAGCTCTACTTGGGATCCTGCTTGTTACGGAAGGAAGCAACATTCCTAGGGCTCATTCACCCTTCCTATGCTCCTGCTCTGTCCTTCCCTCATAGGCATGTCTTCTGGCATTTAAAAAATGACAATAAAGAGAGAGAGAGAGAGAGAAGGATTGAAGGACCAATGGCATAGTCAACAATGACAAATGCTCCAGGCTCAAACAAGATGTAAAGGGTGTAGAAATCCACAGCTCAAAGAGTCCCTTGATCTTTTGAGCCTTGTAGTCTTCCTTGAAACACATGCTATACATATTCAGTATGTATAGCATGTGTTTATTTACCTAGTAAATAAACTAGGTAGTCACCATTCATGATGAGTGCCACAAGGAAGCACGCCGGGGGGATAAGAAGATATATGTTAGTAACAGTAAGGAGCTATCAATAATGAATCCTACATTACTACTACATTGCTATTACACTAGCCTTGTTCTAAATACTACCCATATATTAATTCTCACCACAAAGTGAAAGGAACAACTGTTTCTTCCATTATAGATGAGAAGTCAAAGCACAGAGAAGTAACATTCCCAAAGTCACACACCATGTACTAACTGGTCACTAAGGAATGGATAGCTGAGCCAAATCATGAGGAATGAGCATAAACCAGCTGCATGGGAGATAGGAGAATCCTAGCCTGTGGGAAGTATGAAAATCTAGAGATGGTCAGGAAGTTGGGAGATTTGAGGACTAGGAGGAGACTAGAGGGACTGGATGACAAGCAGCAAGGAGGCTACTAGAAGTGATGAGGCTGAGGAGGAGCAAGCACTAGATCACTGGCCGCTGGTCAGGCAAAGAGATCCTTATGAAGCTGTTGTGGCCTGGGCAGCCCCTGGGAGAGAAGGCAACCTAAAGTAGAGAATGGGAGGTGCAGGTGGAGACTAGAGTTCAGAACTGCTTAAAGAAGCCTGGCTGTAGGAGAGAGAAGTGGCAATAAGAGCCAAGCTTATAGGGCTGAGAAATCTTATGTGCAGGTCAGTGCTGCAACAGATGTTTAAGACATAGGAGAGAAGATCAGCCTTTCCTGAGCATGTTCTGACCAAGAGCCAGAGGACTAGGATTTGGGTGAAAGGGAAGGGTAGAGAGAAGTGAATTCAAACAGGGCAGGGACAATGACATCCAATTTAACAGGAGTGATGGAAAGGAGGAGTTGTGTGCAGATAAGCTCCTGGGTAGAATGGAAGGAACTGAACAATTCCCATCTCATTCTTCTATTTTTCTCTGGGAAGTGAGTTCTCCAAATGTCATATCCCACTCATCTAATTGTATCCTCAGAGTCACACTTACTGGAATAAGAACAATTTCTTTGTGCTGCCCATCCCCAGTTGGGCTCTTTTTGTGGCTCACTAATCCTGTCCCACACTACCTGGTCCTTCCCAGCTGGCTGAAAGGTATTCAATACAACATAATGCTCTGTATCTGTGTATCCCTGAGACTTGGGAATAGCTTCACTCTTAAAATGGCAGCAATATTCACTCAAAAATTTAAAATGATATACGAAAACTCACCTCTTCACTAGGGGATTTTGTAACAAATGGTTCACAATCTATGCAAAATTTACACTGTGAGATGAAACCTTGGAATTCCATAGATCCGTTTTTAAGGAATGGAGGCATTTTGCTTACACAGAGGGCAGAGCAAAATCCTATGAATGGTCTCTTCTGTCAGCCTATATTTTACACACACTGAGTGGAATCATGGATTCTGACAGATACTACATTCCATTGGTGCACAACATCAGTGAACACACCCGCCTAATAAAAGTCTTGTGATGAAACAACATGTTCTTTCCAAAACATCTGCCACACCTTATTTTAAAATTCCACCTTCTTTGAAAAAGATCTTTTCCGTTTACAATAATGATAATAAGGACAATCCATATTGAATAGAATGGGTTGCATGCATCACACAAAATGAGTTGAATCTAGCAATCTACTCAGTTTTGAAAAGTAAATTTATTCTTTTATAAAAGGCTGAAATTGTTGACTGGTAGACAATTACAAAAAATGTTCTTAAAAGCTAAGTAAGCTCTGCTGGGCAGGAAAAGCTACTCTGAATCAAAGAAAGATTGTATTATGTTCAGGAAAATGTTAGAGTTAATATGTTATATGATATTGTCTAAAATTATATAACTCCTTCTTTTGGCACTACTGGCATTTGAGCTCAGGGTCTTGCACTTGCTAGGTAGATGTTGGTTATTTTTAAGAACAGGGTCTCACTTTATGCCTGGGCCAGGCTGAACCACTATCCTATTTGTGCTTCCCTGCTCCTGATCATTGGTTGAGATGGGGGTATCGTGAACTTCTTGCCTGGATTGGCCTTAAATCATGATCTTCCTAATCCCTGCCTCCTAAGAAGCTAGGATTATAGGCTTCAGCCACAGGGCCTGGCAAGACCATAACTGTTAAGCACAGAGCTCAGTAAACTTGGGGTTTATATTCCAACTTGGCCACTTCCTAGTTAATTTGACACTGAACAGACAGCATTTGGTCTGAATCTCAATTTTCTCATCTGCTAAATGGAAATGCTACCTACCTGTCAGGTTGAGATGACTAAAAGATACTATGTGCGCTAAAGTATAATTTTTTAAAAAAACTAAAATCATGACTTTTATAACAATATAAATGAACATGTACCAAGGATTTTATTCAACTCTAATGACTGAGGGAACTAATAAGATGGCAAGATATGTTCAAATGAGAAACTGACTTACAGAGCTTACAGTCAAAACTTGTCTGCATTGGTATGAACAAGAATTACCAAAATTGGTATCAGCTTTCCATTATTTAACAACTACCTGTACAGAGTTGTAAAATAATCTAGTTTAATACAAAGTCAAGGTACAAATTCATGGGATCAAGTGATTCCCCGAGAGTCTACTAGGCAATGGCCAGCACGCCACTGAGATACCAGTGGTCTTCTTTGCCTACTTCTGAGTCCTCTGTGAATACAAAGCACATGCCAGAGCATACTTGCTATGTAGTCAGTGCTGACTAAATGATGGCTGCAGCTGTAATTCTTAGCAAACCTAAGCAAATTGACCAAGTTCATTACTCCAATCAGGATGGATTATAAATGATAATCATTGAGTTACCATTACTGTGACTGTATGAGTTCAAGCTTTACATTCTTCTCTCCACTGTAAAAACAACAGTAAGGTTTTTTTTTTTAAATATAACAAAAGTCATTACCACAGTCAAAAGCAGAATAACAGATAGCCTGCAGCAATCTCCCAGAATGGAAGCCTCAGGCAGCATAAGAGGCCTGGTTGCACTTGTGTGGGGTGACAGAACAAGGTGCTCTTTCGAAAGCTGGAAGTGAGGAAAGTATCACTTTTTGCCAGCTCAGTGACTTGATACTTTTAAGGACACCAACCAAAAGGAGGCCAAGCCACCAACTAAGAAAACACTTGGTGTAGTGATGGTAGAAGGGAACATTGGTGAAGGCAACCGAAAAATTGATAGACAAGGAGGGTTGGAGGGGTGGGCAATGGAAACTCCCATATGCGCTGAATCCAAAAATTAATACTTCAAAGAAAATGAGGAAAATTTATACTAAGAGAGTGAATAAATTTAACAACCAGGGCACTATTAACAGAGAAAATGATGCAGCCAATTGTGAACAAAAGACAATGGGAAAACATGTTAAAGGAAGGAAAACACTGCCAAGGGAAGGTAAGTTTTATGAGGACTGGTTTGCTCATTGGCCATTGGTTCTCAGCTCCATTTCTACCTCCTATCTTTGCCCCACTACTGCAAAAAACAGGAAGATTGTGTATTCATCTTCTCCACATGCCCTTTCCAGCTGCCTCTCAGAGAGAATTTGCCAGTAGGAGGCTGAAAGAGACGGGAATTGAAGAGAATTTCCCTCTGGAAGTAGGGAAAATGCTCTGACAAACATGGCAGCAGCCACCACAGCAGCAGGTGAGCCTGGGGCCCTGAACATCTACTTGCTCAGACAGGGTTTGGACAGCAGATACCAAAGCAAGAGCCCCAAACGGCCTCTAAAGCATGTGCTTCTAGATTGCAAGGGTGCCAGCAGCTGGCAGCTCTGGGCTCCTGCATCCCTACAGGAAGAGTCAGAGTGCCGACTCTCTACTTCCTGTGAAAGAGCTGCAGTGGGCTTCCAATAGCCTCAGGGGTTAGGACAATGATGGGCTCTGGGTTCTGGGTGCCAGCATCTTTCTTTCTGCTTTTCCTGCCATAGTGCAGTTGGCAACTTGTGGAGTACTGATCTCTAGGTTAGCACACGGCTCTTTTTGGTTCCTCCAATCTTTCCAGCATGCTTGTAGTCAGTGTTCAGTACAAGATTCCCTCTGTTGGTTCTGATT